AAGCTGTCTATTGGGAACAAACCATGATTTATTTACATACAAATTATTGTCATTGTCAATAATATATGCACTATCCCCATATGTATATATATTCTTGTGTACATTTCTTTTCCAAAGGTTATAGCCATTACATTCCCCTTTAATAAGCCATTTTACTCTTTTCCCCCTAGGCTGATGCATACCTTTGTACAGCAATGGCTTTGAATGAGACTGTTGAGGAGTGGGTTATCAGATTTGACCCTCTTGCTTCAGCAAATCGAGCTCATCACATGCTCCTCTTTGGATGTAACGATGTGCCACATGACTACATGCAACAAGGCTCATGGTTTGTACATCCATTTTGTTACGTGCAGAGTGTTTTGTATAGTAGTTTTCCCTTTATGATATGTGATCCAGAAATTTTTCTATGGATGGAGCACAGATAAAGCTGTTATTCGTCCTCATGTATGTTATATGAAGTCACATATCTTAATTCAAACTTTGTTTTTTCTATTGTGACATATGATGTGATGAGTCCTAAGACCCTTTGATTTTGGCATTGTTATTTGATAGATACCATATATTTCAAGTTATTTCTCCTATGTTACATTGTATGCAAAGTCTATAACCCTGTCATCCAAAACCTATTTACCTCCACCAGGGACTGTGGTCACCATGGGGTTTGCACAGGTGGTAGAATAATGTTTGCATGGGCAAAGAATGCACCAGCCACAAGTTTACCAAAGGATGTTGGGTTCCGCATAGGAGGTCAGACTGGTATTAAGTACCTCACATTGCAAATCCATTATGCAAGTGCAATGCAAGAGGGACAGCAAGATCACTCAGGCCTGCAGATGGAAGTTACAAGAGAACAGTAGGTTTTGAATACATGTTTTGCCTTCTACTACATATTCCCCTCTTTTCCTGTTTTTCTTATTTAGTTTTATATTAAGTTTGATTCCCTTCTCTTGTTGACTTTCTCAGAAATCAGAAAAAATATCATAATTTCTATTTCTTGCAGTGTGCCGCAAGAATTACTTGCAAGATCAAGGAAGACCTTAGATTTAGTCCCCATAGTGATCTGGCCACACTGGGTGCAATTTAGTCTTGTTCGCTTAAAAGTGCTCATGTCTATTTTAAAGCATCCTTTATTTTACTAGATCAAAAAAGATTTAATTTTAATTCCATTTGTTACAATGGATATTCTTTGCTGTGACATACTGTGTTCTATTTTGCTTCCAAATCTCCCCCCTGTTTGCAAGGGATGGCTGTGGTTGCCATCCACTGCAGGTCAGCAAGATTGCTAGACCAACACACTAACTGCTGTGCCACACAGCACACTAATATATATTCAGGTGTATTTATTTGTATTATGTTGCCTCACTGGATTTTTTGTGTAATGTATTTGCTGTTTACCCACAGGCAAAAATACAAAGCTGGGATTTATTTGCTGGGCTCAGCCTATTCCGACATACCTCCTCATACAGAAAGTAAGGCTTTAATTACTTGTGTATTTTAGTTTGCTTTTTTTTTCACCCAGTATGAAAATTTGTATTTACTAGTCCTGCAAGAGGTGCACATGTGTTTGTTATCATGTTTTGTGGTAGATATGTATTTTTTTTAAAGCATAAAAAAAGAAAAATCAGAAAAGATTTCTTGTGATATATTTAATCAGTTTGTACCACATATATGTGAACAGCAATTTGATTATGATAAATTTCAAATATTCTTGAATTTGTGTGTATGCGGTATTCACACGCTTCATTGTTACATTTACTTGTTTAATGTTTGGATGATGGATTATAGTCATGGTTTCCTCTTTGGCAGAAACACATGCAGATATGAACTGCATAATTGGAGAGACAGGGGAACCAAGAGATATATATCTCTTTGCATACCGTACTCATGCACACAAATTAGGAAGTGTCATCTCTGGCTATGCGTTTGATCCTAATGTAAGTATCAATTTCTATATTTAGTTGTAATGAAAGCAATGAGAGGAATATTAACCTTATTATTTGCTAATTGTAGTGCATAATTTTGATTTTTGTGAATTAGTTTCAAGGGAATAAAAAATGTGATTTGTTGCATAGGTTTTCCCCCCTTTTCTAAGTTAGGTATATCTTGGACATCATTTAAAAAAAAGTTCTTTGCAATTTTTTTTTTATATGCTATGTAATATAGTCCTTTTAGTACATCAGCATTTGCTTAATCTGAAATAGGATTTAAGAACATGTGTACATATAGATGTCTTTTTGTGCTTTTGTTTTAGTATTTAATTTTTCTCTGTCCATTTTAAATGCAAATATTTTCATAATACTTTTAAGTGTATATTTATATTAAAGTGTAATATCTTTTCCTCTGATTTTTATAGATGATATCAATATGATATTGTATTTTTTTATGCAAAATTATTTGCTATGAGGATATTTGAAACTAAATGGAGTGTTGCTTTGTTAACAGGCATTCAACGGATGAGGGTAGGATGAGGGTAGTCGTAATATGGTCCGTTTTTATGTAC